TTCTATAAATTACTTATTTTTGGTTTTTAATTATATTTATTATTATTATTATTATTATTATTATTATTATTATTATTATTATTATTATTATTAATGTAATTAGTTATATATTTCACTATTAATATTATATTAATATTATTAATGTAATTATTTCTATATTTCACTATTACTATGATTATTATTATTAATATTATTATTACTATTAATGTAATTAGTTATATATTTCACTATTACAATTATTATTGATGTACTTATATATTTCACTATTATTATGATTATTATTATTATTAATAATATTATTAATGTAATTATTTCTATATTTCACTATTATTATTATGATTATTATTATGATTATTGTTATTATTATTAATGTAATTATTTTTTTATATTTCATTATTATTATGATTTTATTATTATTATTAATATTATTTGTTATATATTTCCCTATTATTATTATTATTATTATTAATGTAATTATTTCTACATTTCACTATTATTATGATTATTATTATTATTGTTATTATCATTAATGTAATTATTTATATATTTCACTATTATTATCATGATTATCATTATTATTATGATTATTATTATTAATAATGTAATTAAAATAATGTTTGGATAGGTATATTGTATTTTTTTTACATTTAGATTTCTTCCCTCAATCGAAATCTTGGAAGTTTCCCACCGCTTATAAAATTTCCCAGGGTATTCGGAGTTTAATATTGCAGCAGCTGCTATAATTGCAATTAGAATTGATTTTACATCAAACAGATAAGTTATGTACCTTTTTCTTCAACCAGATATAATAACCATGCATATCGTATACGTGTACATATGAAAATCAACTTGTAATCTGACACATAAAAGAATCCTATTCACCCTACATAGATAAACCAGTTAGACTTCCACAGTCAAAGCAGAGAGAAAGTCACAATTGCTCGATGGCCATTTTTGCTTTCAGGGAATGGCCGGTCTGGATTTCAGAATTCCAGAGTATTTTATTTTATAATACAGTTTCTGATTTGGTCTCAAAACTTTTCTGTCTGAATTTCTGGGATGGAGAGTTATAATTATTTTATGCTATTTAGATACAAACTGGAATTTGAACTCAGCTCCCAGATTCTTTAATCTAGACCACTTACCATTACTCCACCGCGCCCCCATTTAGTACTGCTCATTGAGATTGTTACATTCACTTACATGCAAATACCCTTGGGACAGGAATGACTCCATCTCTTCCCCCCCCCCCAGCTATTCGTCCAGGATATGACGATAAACTACATCCTGCAGCAAGGCCTCTGATCGAGAGATTTTTGGAGCCACATCTTAATTGCTGTTGTTCCAAGGTCCACCCTGACCTGTGATGGTATCACCTGTTAGGGGGTCCCAGCTATAGGCGAATAGTTAACCCACAAACTGGCGTCAAAACACTATGAAAGTATAAAAACAGATTTTATAGTAAAAATACCAGCAATACATTTTTGGTAAAAAAAAAAACAAAAAAAAAAAAACAGCTGAAATGGACATCACATGTAACTCGAGGAGAATTGTAGGTTACCCCACTTGACTTTACTAAAAAAAAAACTGTCGCTAGGGGACGCTCCTTAAGCCAATAAATAGGCAAGAATATTCTCAGTCATTATCTTTCCCCCTTCTTTACATCTCCCACTATAAGATGTAGTCGCATGTGGGGGAAAAGTGCCCCCCCCCACCATTAGGTCACGTTCACTTCACTTTCAGTCTAATACTCTTCTCTCGGACTTCTCCTATACACACATTCCACAAACACACATTTTCTAATTTAAATGTTTTCAATGTAATTAGTCTTTCAATATATTCTTCTTTTATTGTCATTGTATATTTTTGTTAATACATTTCTTGTTTGTTTTATATACTGTTTTATGTTACTCATTTATTACTCTGAGGAGGCACGGTGGAGTAATGGATAGCGGATTGGATTGAGGAATCAAAAAGAGCAGAGTTCGAATTTCAGTCGAATCCATTATATTTATTTACGTGCTAATACCCTTGGGAAAGATATTAATACTCTCCCCCCAACTATGGGTAAATAGCAGGACAGACCAGGTTCTACAGTCTTGGATGACAACTGGTCTACCAAAGAAAGAAATAACAACTTACTACAGCAAAAAATCTGCCTCGTCAATCATGTATCGAAAGATCACGCATGGCACATAACTGACTGACTTAGATTCTGTGAGTAAATAGCAGGACAGACTGGGTTCTATAGCTTTGGATGGTAACTGGTCTACCGCAGAAAGAAATGGCAACCTACTGCGGGAAAAAAATCTGCCTCATCAGATATGCCTAAGCGTGTATCACGCATGGCACATAACTGACTGATATTCACTTACATGCTAATACCCTTGGGAATGGTATGAATCTTCTTCTTCTCCCCCCAGCTATGGGTAAATAGCAGGACAGACTGGGTTCTATAGCTTTGGATGGTAACTGGTCTACTGCAGAAAGAAATGGCAATCTACTGCAGGAAAAAAAATCTGCCTCATCAGATATGCCTAAGCGTGTATCACGCATGGCACATAACTGACTGATATTCACTTATGTGCTAATACCCTTGGGAATGGTATGAATCTTCTTCTTCTCCCCCCAGCTATGGGTAAATAGCAGGACAGACTGGGTTCTATAGCTTTGGATGGTAACTGGTCTACTGCAGAAAGAAATGACAATCTACTGCAGGAAAAAAAATCTGCCTCATCAGATATGCCTAAGCGTGTATCACGCATGGCACATAACTGACTGAGATACCAAGGTCAGCCCCTAGTGGCTTGAATGCAGTCTTCAGACTCGACTATTTATCTATGCTGGTTAGTGGGACGTTGTGGGTGGCAAGGTCCTCTATTTCTGGTTTATTGTATTATCATAACATTTTTTAGGTAGGCGGCAAAGTTTATTTTTCAAATAATATTAAAGACTATTGAGTAGAAATACGGTTATTTGCAATTATTGTGTAGGAAGTTGTTTGTGAACTTCTATTTTGTTATTTATTATTGATTACTTAGGAAATCTTGTATTTATTAATTAATTATTTTTCATTATTATTATTAGATTTCTTTATGCATGCATTTGTAGTTTGTTAATTTGTTTATTAATTATTTAGGTCATTAGTTTATTTTTTTTCTTTTTGGAGTTTGTTATCTTATTTTTATTCTTATTTTAATCGGTATCACGCCATGTAAGGCAGTAAAGCCACTAAGACACAAAGGGGGGTGTAGTTACAGGGTGTGGAAGAAATAGGAAATGAAATATTAATAATGAGCGAGAAGAGAAAAGAGTAATCAGGAACACAGTAGATAGTGATTGACATTGCATTTAAATTTTGGCAGATTTTGACTGGAAAAGCACGAAAGGGATAACCCCAAGCGAGAAGTGCTAGAAAAGAAACTGTTAGCATAGAACTTACGGCTACATCTCAACTGTAAATTGATGAGATCTCACCGACAGTCTAGTACTGCGCTTAAATTAAAAAGGTCTAGGTACCATAGTGAAGAACTCACCCAAGTATTACATTAAAAGAGAAATTTCTTGCATAAAATGTATTTTAATACAAAATTTAAACAAATTTAGTCTTTTTTTGAAACAATATATATTTTATTGTTTTTTCATCACATTTAATTCAAAATTTTTAATGGCAGCCAAGCAGCATGTATCTATTTATTTATCAAGTCATGTGACACATATAGTCTCTTCATCTTTAAGTAGTTGTTTATAAAAAAAAAAGTCCAAGTGTAATGAATTGTATAAATATTGGGTTGGTGCATAATTATCAGGCGTTTTTAAACAATATTTATTATGAAAAAAGAAACGTGACAATTATTGAACAATAACATTTTTAAATGATTATTCCAGAGTGTATGATTATCGACACACATTTTTATAACTTGAAAATAAGATAATATTTTTATTAAAAAAAAATAAACTAAACAGCAATTTTTATAAACTCGCTTACAAAAACGCCTGATAATTATGCACCAACCCAATATTGTGTTATGCATTTTCCAAAGCAACCACACGTTGAGATCGCCACTCTAGGCTGATAAAATCAAGAAGTCGCCTTCCTGACAAATCGACCATGGTGAGATTTGAACCTGGGTCTCATGGTCGGAAACCAAATGTTCTAACCATGCGCAGGGATTAAATAATAAGCTTTGCAGGCCTTTAATAGTGCTGTGAGTTCAGTCCTCAGTGAGTGCCTTAGTATTGAGGCCTTGTGCCTTGTAAGACTAGACTTAGTAAACATGTATTTAAAGAATCGTCTCTGACATCGCATGAAGCAATGAAGGAAGAAGCACAGCTGTGAGAATGTCGACTGTCGATCTCATCAAATGGAACAGGTGTCATGTGTGGGCCGACAATTGTCATAATTATTTAACAAACCACCTAATTGTTATTGCCATTATTAAACTTATACTTCAATAGTCTCCAAACTTTTTCCGGCTGCCACCTACACCGGCTTTCAGGTTTTATTTTAACACCCTTCCATACAAAGGGCACATTTTTTTTATTGGCATTCTTATTTTACGGCCACATCCCAAATCTTCTTATATCCTATTTTACGGCCACATCCCAAATCTTCTTATATCTTCTTTTACGGCCACATCCCAAATCTTCTTATATCCTATTTTACGGCCACATCCCAAATCTTCTTATATCTTCTTTTACGGCCACATCCCAAATCTTCTTATATCCTATTTTACGGCCACATCCCAAATCTTATATCTTCAAATCCCAAATCTTCTTATATCTTCTTTTACGGCCACATCCCAAATCTTCTTATATCTTCTTTTACGGCCACATTCCAAATCTTCTTATATCTTCTTTTACGGCCACATCCCAAATCTTCTTATATCTTCTTTTACGGCCACATCCCAAATCTTCTTATATCTTATTTTACGGCCACATCCCAAATCTTCTTATATCTTCTTTTATGGCCACATCCCAAATCTTCTTATATCTTCTTTTACGGCCACATCACATTGAAACACTGGTTCCCTTACGATCACCGTAGCTAAGCAACGTCGAGCTTGGTCAGAACCTAGATGGGTGATTGCGTGGGAATATCAAATGCTATAAGCTTAAATGTGAGGGTGGTGTAATGGATAAACGGCTCGGAATTGAAAATCGGAGAGCGGTTTTCCAATTCCAGTCAGTTTTGGAGAAAGATATGAATCCACATCTCGTCTCCTCCCAGCTATGGGTTAATCAGTAAGATTTGTATCACTAAACCATCAATACCTCCAAGAATTAAAAAAAAATCCTGCCATATAAAAATATTTCCTTGCTTTAAATAACACGCAGAGGGTTGATGAACCGTAAAAAAACGAATCAATTAACCTAGGCAAGATTATTATCTTGTCTAATGAGAAGAAAAGGACTAATCACAAATTGTAGCAAGAGGATCAGCCGAGGATGCGAGCTACAAATTGGAGAAACTTAAACAAGTACAGAAATTTAGGTATATGTAAAGTGTTTTAACAGACGAGGGAAATGTGACACCAAAATCCGAAGGCGCATTGGGATAGCGAAAGTGCCTACCAAAATCTAAGCAGAGTATTAAGAAACAGGAAAAATTCATTAGAAACAAACAAAAGAGGACTGACCAACTTTATAATATCAATTCTTCCATATGGCAGCGAATTATATATCTATTGTTGTAACATACCTACAAACGATAATGGGTTTGTCCACATTCACATAAATAAGTAGAAAATACTGTATGTTGGTTTTCAGTTAGAGATTGGTCTCTAGCTGTGCTGGTCAAACTCTCTGCATCCAGACAGAGAAGATCCCCAGACGAGGCTATGTCGAAGGGCAGAATCTCATCTAGGGAAACAGCTACTCGACCCCGTTTTATACGCGGTCTACAGGGAATTTTAGGCCGAGTCTACGGGCTCGGATACCCAACATTAAATTCGGCCTTGAGCCACATCTAACCGCATGGGGCAGTTGGAAGATATTCTGCAGTTGGAGATTCATTGTGGAATTCATTTCATTCACTTCTAACAGTTTACTACTTTTCTACGCGCCGCTGGCGAATCTTATATGTATTGTTCGTGTCCTAAGTATTATCGTTCATTACCAACCTTCATGTGATAATTCTAACCTTCAGTAACCTTCCCTACGTTACAACATATATATATATATATATATATATATATATATATATATATATATATTAGTGATTATATATATAATATCCAACATCAATAGCACGACTCGGATTAAAATTGTGTGTTAAGACTTGTTCATTTATTATTATTGTCTATAATATTATGCATAATAAACATTCTGAAATTGATAAATAAGTAGATAGATACATACTGTAATAGATAGACAGATATAATATATATATATATCTATAGATAGACAGATAGATATATATATATATATATATATATATATATATATATATATATATGTGTGTGTGTGTGTAATAGACTGTAAAAAGATAGACAGATAATGAACAGACGGAAAGAGGTACATAGATAGATCGATAGACAGATAATGAAACAGACTGAGATAGATAGATAGATAGATAGATAGATAGATAAGAAACAGTCATAAAGTGGTATATTAGTAGATACATACTGTAATATATATATATATATATATATATATATATATATATATATATATATATAGAGAGAGAGAGAGAGAGAGAGAAAAATAAAAACAAACAGAAATACACATATATAGATAATGAACAGACTGACCTAGATATATTGATAGTTTACCATATATTGACAGTATGAGAGATAGATAGATAGATAGATAGATAGATAGATAGATAATAAACCGACAGAAGAATATATATATATATATATATATATATATATATATATATAATAAACAGAATCTAAAAGATAGATAATGAACAGACTGAAAGAGTTATATAGAGATAGATAATGAACCGACTGAATATATATATATATATATATATATATATATATATATATATTAAACAGACTGTAATAGATAGATAGATACATAATGAATATATATATATATATATATATATATATATATATATATTAAACAGACTGTAATACATAGATAGATAATGAACATATATATATATATATATATATATATATATACATACATATATATATATATATATATATATATATATATATATATATATATATATATATATATATACATATATATATATATATATATATATATATATATATATATATATATATATACAAATTCAGTCGAATATATAATCGAGTATAAATTCCAGTCGAAAGCATTACATTCACTTGAGAAAGGTATGAATCCATTACATTCACTTATGTGCTAATAACCTTGGGAAAGGTATCAATCCCCTTCTCCTTCCTCCAGCTATGGGTAAATAGCAGGACAGACAGGGTTCTATAGCCTTGGATGTCAACTGGTCTAGGAGAAGGACAACTCCGAATTCAAAACCTACGGAGGGTTGTTTGGGGAACTTGTGCCACATAGTGCACCAGGTCTCTGTATTCGGCCTTTCGAAAAGTGTATTTTTGTTCTGCATAAAGCCTTCACCACTATAATCAAATCATATGCACTGGTCTCTGGGCTGTCGGTTCCTGAGAACTGAGCTGCTTGAACCTCATACGTCGAATATGACGCCAGAGTCATATATATATATATATATATATATATATATATATATATATATATATATATATATATATATAAAGAAATATAGTCTTAAGGTGTGCTATATTTATGGAATAAAGTGCTCAGTATCAGAGATAGAGCGTGTGTAAATATAAAAGGGAATATAGAAGCTCTAAGTGTTGACTTCTATGTTCACTTTTTATATTTATATATATATATATATATATATATATATATATATATATATATATATATATAATAAGTAAACTGTAAACAACACATAGATAGATAGATAGATAGATAGATAGATAGATAGATAGATAGATAGATAGATAATGTACAGAAAGAAATAGGCAGTTGGATTGGTAGATAGATAATGAACATACTAAAAGAAGTACATACATAGAGAGATAGAAAATGAGCAGTCTGAAATGAATAGATAGATAGACAGATAATGAACCCACTGAATTATATATATATATATATTAAAAGACAGTAGTATATATATATATATATATATATATATATATATATATATATATATATATATATATATAATAAACAGACTATAAAAGGTAGATATATATATAATGAATCCACTGAATTATATATATATATATATATATATATATATATATATATATATATATATATATTAAACAGACTGTAATAGATAGATAATGAACATATATATATATAATATACAGACTCTAAAAGATAGATATTATCAGAATGACATAGATAGGTTATGGGCGTTGACAACAGTACTGTATACTGCATGTTGGCTTCCTGACATGGTTTGAATATCTTCTGAGGCGTATCCACATTATCAATATCTATAAATGAGCTGTTTTTGATATTCAACAGTCTGTGTGACACGTCCTGTCCATGAATATAAAAACGAATATGAACCCCAAAATAAAACAAACCAAGTCAATGTTAATTTTCTTCTTTGTGACGTGTTACTTCCGTAATAATCATAACTTACATTTTGTTACACAGACATTGTTTTAATAAAAGAAAAGAAACAAAACATTCGTTTTCTTCTGGTGACGCTACGTCACCATCTCCTATTTCCATTTTCTCTCACACCCGCTTGGATTCTTTTTATTACCACAGCAAACAGCAACGCCCACTTTGGGGATTACAGTTTTAGGCTAAAGACTCTCTGTGCCCAGTGACTATGTCGTATTCGCTTTGTAGGAGAAACGTTATAATGAAGGACTCATATAAGAACATTGATGTTTATCGTCACGGTGGATCAATGGACAGTGGCTCGGATTGAGGAATCGGAGAGTCGAATTCGAAATACAGTCGAGGACGTTACATTCACTTTCATGTAAATAACCCTGTGAAAGGTATGAATCCTTCTCTTCTCCTCTCAAGCAATGTGTAAATAGCACTACAAACAGTCTAGGAGAAGAACGACTCTGAATTCAAAACCTACAAATATGGATAAATATTAGAGCAGACTAGACTCTTCAGCCTTGGTTGGCCACCGGTCTACGAGAAGGATGACTCTGAATTCAAACCCTAAAAATATGGATAAATAGAACAGTCTAGACTTTTCTAAGAGAAGCACTACAAACAGTCTATGAGAAGGACGTCTCTGAATTCAAACCCTACTAACATGGATAAATATTAGAGCCGATTAGACTCTGCAGCCTGGGGTGACAACCGTTCAAGGTGAAGGACGTCTCTGAATTCAATACCTACTAATATTGATAAATAGTAGAAATGACAAAACTGTTCAGCCTTGGTTGGCAACAGGTCTGGGAGAAGGACGACTTTGAATTCAAACCCTAAAAACTTGGATAAATATTAGAGCAGACTAGACTCTTCAGCCATGGTTGGCCACCTGTCTATGAGAAGGATGACTCTGAATTCAAAACCTACAAATATAGATAAATAATAGAGCAGTCTAGGCTTTTCAGCTTTTTCTAAGAGAAACCCGATTCTGAATTCAAAATCTACAAATATAGATAAGTAGTAGAGTCTGTGATTGGCAGCCGTTCTTGGAGAAGGACGTCTCTGAATTCAAACCCTACAAATATGGATAAATAATAGAGCAAACTAAGCTATTCAGCCTTGGTTGGCAACGGGTCTAGGAGAAGGACGACTCTGAATTCAAAACTTACATATATGCGTAAACAGTAGAGCAAAGCTCTTCAGCCTTGTCTAGGAGAAGTACAATTCTGAATTGAAAACCTCCAACTCTGGGTAAATAGTAGAACAGATTAGGCTCTTCAGCCTTGGTTGGAAATTGGTCTAGGAAAAGGACGACTCTGAATTCAAAATTTACAAATATTTGGTAAATAGGAGTGCTGATTAGTCTTTTCAGTCTTGGTACGGGAAGGACAGCTCTAAATTTAAAGTCGTATGTAACCCTGTTGAAGCAAATACACCGAAGATAAGGAAAGCATCAAGGAGCTTACTGTGATGCTGACAGCGGTCGTTGT